CAGCACAAGAGCCTTTGAAATGGGTTCCGCCGAGGGCCCGTCTATGTGGCGGTGCGAAATGATCAAGATACCTCGGGTAGTATATGTCGGTATATTGATGGTCCGCTTGGAACCGGTTGCTTACTCCCGACGGTCTGGGGGCGTGAAAGCCGCCTAATTGCCCTGGCGGAACTGCTCCGAAGCTCCATCCGGCACCAGTGCTGATAAGTCCGTCATGTCAACGTTGCGCCTCGAATTGAATGGACGGCAATGGTGATGACCTCCAGTGCTGGCTACAGCAAGCGGCGCGACGCTACCGCCATAGTTTCCTCGCTCTTCTCCGCCCAATTCCAAACATGACTCACCTCTAGTGCCACAACCACGACGAAATGACCCAGAAAGCGCATCGCGACTATCAGGATGGCTTCGCCGGGAGGATAGGATGGGGTAAACGTCCGGCGCTGCTACTTGTCGATGTTTGTAACGCCTACTGGAACGATGCCAGCCCATTGGACACCAAGTCGAACCCTGCGTCTGCGGCGGCGCCCGCGTCCATCGCAAAACTCGTCTCTGCCGCCCGCCAAGGCAAAACGCCATTGATTTGGACGCGAGTCGAATACACGAAGCCGGACATGTCGGATGCGGGCCTGTTCTACAGCAAAGTACCACTACTCAAGCTGTTCCAAGTCGGCTGCGGGAACGGCCTTGAAAGTTGGTATCCTGGTTTAGAGCCCGCCGCTGGTGAAGTCGTCGTCCCCAAGCGCTACCCGTCCGCATTCTTCGGGACGGATCTGGCTGCGCAACTCCAAAGTTGCAACGTCGATACTGTCATAATCTGTGGTGTCAGTACAAGTGGTTGCGTCCGCGCGACTGCCCTCGATTGCATGTGCTTTGGATTTCGACCAATGGTGCGGATCGACTCGGCAACGCATGAGTCCCTGTAAATGTCACTAATCATCATTCCAGGTCGTGGGAGAAGCATGCGGTGACTTATCACCTGCGGTCCACAAAGCAAACCTTTCCGACATCAATGCAAAGATGGCGGATGTGGTTTCTGAGGATGAAGCAATTCAGAAGCTGCAGGCTGGATGGAACTGAGCGGGCCGCGCGGCTACGGTACCGCGCCGCAGAACTAGTTCCAGGAGGTAAAGCTCCTGTCGCTGTCAGTTAATACAGTCATCTAGGTTCCTCTCAAGCTCGCCTACATGAAGCCGAGCAAGTTTCTCGTGTACGATACTGTGTCACGAAGGCATGTGGGGATGGCGGCCACCACGAACGACAAATAGCACGGAAAATTAATAAAGCATACTCCTATTTCGAGAAAGAGCCAAGGGTAACGAAAGACGGACTGTAGAAGGCGTAGTCAAGGTGCATCATCTAATAGGAAGGTGTTGAGCGTGGCGTGATGGTCCGTTCTTTCTTTTGACTAACATTCCACTTTGGCAACCACAACCCAGGCACTGGGTTCACACGAGGCGATTCTTCACTATTCACTGTTTTGGAACTACTGCTTCACTGCGCGTTACTTTATCACTCAAAATCACTCACATCGCTATTCACAATGCCGACAAAACCTTTTAGCAGAACCCACGAGTGACAACGAGCAGGCACGTGTCCGGTCCCCGAGCACATCTGCGTGTTTGCTTTCGATCACGGCATCGGCGTCTCTAGATACACTTTCTAATCCACAATACACTCGAAAGCGACGCGACACTGTGCCCAACTCAAGCACATCAACAACACTCGAAGCATTCCGATCACATTTCTCCGCCAGCGTCAGAGCCACCGCCAAAGCAATTTCTGATATGAACCGAAGAAACTCAGCGTTCCCAATACTACAGCACACGCCTTATCCCGGTGCAGAACCAGTGCCCGATTGTGTGTGGGTATGCTGTGGATGCAGAAGAAGATGGGAGACGAAGGAGCTCGGCAACATCTGTGTCGGCTGCAGTCACAAATACTCTGTTGACTGTTGCCAGCTTGCCGGATAGCAAGCCATTGCGGGGGTTGAGGAGATGACACAAGGACGAGTTAAGGTGCGCCAGTCTACGCTCTTGATCTAACAAAGGCTAACGTAGCGGCGTTCTTCAGCTGGTAACATACCCAGCGGTCGAGAGTGTGTACGAAATTGTGCTTGTAGCCATGGATGAACGTGATGGTGGCAAGCGCAATCAAAAAAGTATCCATTGGTATGCATCCCCCTTCAATGCCATGATCTACGAAATTTACTCCGCTCATGCTTCACACAGGCAAAGTGCTGTACTCCATTCGCTCCTCTAACACAACTAATGAGCACCCATTCGGCCATAAAGCTAATGCCTGAGTCTGCTTAAACTCTCCGATGGCTCGATTTGGCTGTATCCCTTCCATACACCATCACGCTCCTCATCGGCGGTACCACCATCTCTTCCGACCACTTAGATTCAGGTCCTCATGATTTGGTGCCCAGCGACCACGGCAGTTGGAAACCTGCCTGGGGGCCTGCCCCAGACGACTTGTTCGGTCTCCACATGGCAAAGATAGGCGGAGGCGTCAGCTCATGCGCGCACTTCCTCCACTCGTCGCTCGCTTCCGACTTCTCGTTGTCGAAAGCAATCTTCAGCAGAGACTGGAACCCAAACTTGTCGTAAAGCGGTTTTCCCATGGCAGAAGCTTCCATCCAACATTCGAGATCAAGCCCGTCCGCGCGTGTGATACCAACGTGCATGAGAAGAGAGCCAACACCGCGATTCCGATGGGCAGGGTCTACCGCCATCCAGTTGAGTGCTAATACAAAGTCAGCGAGAGGAAGAAGATCATTTTGACTTTTCGCACAATCACGTTTCTTCATCCGGAAATAGCGCGTTTGAGGGGAAAGGAAATGCTCCACTTACCACAGTGTGGCCGCGTCATCCAATTCGCTCGCGGCCTGTACACCTGATTGAGTATTGACTCGCAGAAGCTCCGATATTCGCCCTCGGGCCACCATGGCGCGGTTAACTTTGGTGTGCCTGCAGCGAATGGGTTGACAGTCGAAATAACCCATTGCGAGCAACCGACAGTCTTGTTAGTGACTGTGTCGAAGGCGTAGAACCAGTGACTGGAAGTGTCCTCTTGGTGTTGTTTCCAGAAGCGTTGTTTTGATTCGGCGACGGCGAGGTCGCGATGGGCGCTCGTGTAGCCAAGGACCGGGAAGAACAGTTGCATGAACGGCTCATAAGGTGTGTAGTTCGCAGCCCAGATAACATCCAGTATCTCATCCAGCTCTTGCTTTGTCTTTGCCTCCCGGATCACGTATCGTTGTCCCATCGCAGCGGATTGGTGATTGCGTCAAGCCATGGCGACATCGGCCAGGTAAAGTAGTCTGCAAGTGCGCTACCTCGCCGCCGCTGCGCATTGACAGCGCAATCGGAGATATAGCTTGACCCAAGTATTGGACATCGTAGATTGCCGTGTTAGGGTGAAGTTGCCCAACAAGGAAGGTACCGTCGACACATTTAGCGTCTTGGCGAGGCTGGCAAGTAACACCCTTTTGCCCCAGCACACCTTCCCCGATAGCCCCTCACTTTTACACACATCCAGCCACTCGGTAGCACTTGTATCGCTATCATCATCTCCAGATGCTTGCGACCTTCCTCGATCGTACGGGCGCCGCAAGAGAGATTTCTCGGCGATGTAACGATGGACCGAGGCTGGTCGCGTCGCTATTCATTCATGGTCCGCGCTCGGAGCGGTGCGATTGGGGTATGGTGTTGTCGGGACGGGCTTGCGACGTATGTTTGTGAAACTCGAGGCGAATTCTGTGACACCCAATGAGCGCGCTCCGTCTTATGGAGCCGCGGAGGCTTGCTTTCTACATTCACTCCACAAAGCGGATCGAAGAATGGAGCGACCTCCAGCATATGCGCCAGTCTGCAGCAATGAACAGGAAGAAATCCTAGCAGAGCTAGAAGAGAAGGATGGCGTTTCCTGGAACTCTAAGAGTACTGAGATCATCCCGACCAACACGCGCAGCTTCGTGGCGTACATGTCCATCCTTCTGCTCTCTCTTTCAGCAAACATTCTCCTGGTGATGGATAATGCAAGGCTTCGAATTGCGCACAGTCCAGCTAAGAGCAACTACAGTAAGTGACAGCCTGATCGGTCTGATGCTAGCTCACGAAGATCAAAGGTGGATTAGCCTACGATACTACTGTGCCATATCACGCGACGACAAAGTACTGGCATCCGAACGCCAGTGATAGTGATATGGAAGCGGCATGGGACGCTATTGACACCAATGCCATGGCAGTCACGCTCGACGACAGATTCGCAAAACGTGTCGGTCTACCCAACTCTACTCGGTTTCCATGGGATACCGAGAGAAGCATCTACTACGTCAAAGGAATCCATGATCTGCATTGTCTTGTACGTATACATGATGATGTTTGGGTTCATCCGCTGATTGCATCAGAAACTCATCCGGAAAGCCATTGTGTCAAAGCATAACGACGACCCACAGCCCTTCAATCTCCTTCACATCTACCACTGCCTTGACGGACTTCGGCAGGACATCATGTGTAATGCGGACGACACACCGATACCAGCCCCTGTTACACACCAGTCGGGCGAAGGTCAGCTTCGACAGTGTCGTGACTGGGACAAGCTGATTGCCTGGGCCACGCGTCCTGACCAACATGCTTGCTACGAGTTTGACGATTATCGTGAAGCAACGAACACACTGGAAAACTTTGCATTCTGTCCCCCGGGTTCGCCTTACCGGGAGTTTCAAGAGGCTTATTTCCAGCATCATGGACACAAAGACGCGTATGAGCTGTATGGTGACGAAGAAGAAATCGTAGTTTTCTGAAGTCGTGGCTGAGACAAGCCTTAGGCATACCTGGCGTGGGAACGTTCCTGGCCGTTTGCGCCAATTAAAATACGAATGTACCTGTTTTGAAACTGAATCGCGGTAGCAGGGACCACTTTATCGTCAGAAGTTCCGATGAAGATGCAACTTAATATCGATGGAGGCTACACTACATGATCAGCATTAGCCACTAATGGTCGAACGCCATGGATCGGAAGGGTATGTACCTCAGATCTGCCCTGACCACGAAAAGCGTCAGGCAAACTCCGCGGCCAACTCCAAGGTCTACCGATGTCCCATGCCGTCAACGCTTTCTTATATCGGCCCGGGTCAACTGCATTGTTACGATGCCCGTGCGGCGAGAAGGCAAAAAGCGCAGTGCGACACTGGTAGGAGTAAGGCAATCATAGAGAGTGGATGAGCGGCGCCGAAGACATGCGCGTCTGAAACTTCGGAAGCATGATTACATGCGAGAAGTAATAGTTCCGAAAATACTACGCTGAGGTACGTAGCAGTTGACACATATATTTCGAGGTGAAGAACAGCAAGTTCAGCACCACCTTCATCCCGTTCACACACACTATTTTCGACGTAAGCAAGAATGTCCTCCGGCGCGTTTATCTACTGACGCTAACCAGTACCAAGGGAGCTTACCAAGCACATCAATTACCAACTACCTGCCATGCACGCTACTATCGCTCTACTTCCGCTGCTTGCCTTCGCGATGGGCATCGCTGCAGCTCCAGCACCCCTGTATCCCGTTGCCCGGGCCGTACCAGACATCAACGAAGTCGCCCGAAACCCGGCTCCCATCGATCATCATGTCGGTTGGGACGACCATGGCAAACCGACACTCGGAGATATCAGCCACCTCAGTCCAGAGGACATCAAGAAGCTCAAAGACCTCATCAAGCATCTACTTGGTAGCAGTCACTCTGCATAGGAGGCTGTCGGAAGTCGTACATGGAGGAAGTGATATCATCCAAGGTATGCGCTTGAAACTTCGCTTCTTTAGGATCTAGCTAAGAAGTGTAGCCCCCGGAATTCTTTTACAGACAACTATGCCATCTACTTGCGCATACGAAAGAGGTGGAGTCCTTTTCCCGCATGCGTCGTCGCTCTAGCCGCCAAGGCCGCCATAGCAACATGATCAAATACGACTAATTTCGCGATTTCTACTGCTTTACCTTGCTTGCTCAGCCCTGAACATTCCGATCTGTCTTGGCTAATTCCGCGGCCTTTTTCATGCAACAACCTGTGAGCAGCCATCATCTGACGGGCAGCGCCACCACTGCAGCGACCGCCCCACTGCAAGCTCGCGCATCAATGGAACACTGCACAAGATATGTGCTGGCAAATGTTCCACGACGGCATTGGCCAATCGACCATCAATCGCCCGGCAACATACAGTAGTGACACAACGCCGAGCCTGGTGTGTCACAAAGGTCACACCACGGTGGAAGATCCCAGAGTGATCTAATTAGCGATCGAAAGATGACGAGTGTCGTTGTAGCTAGCGAGCTAACATACCGGCTTTTCTCCGCCGCTTACTCCCGTAGCTTCCGATGTGTACCTTTCACTAGCATACCAGCAAATCCTAACCTGACCCGAACTTCCGGCGCAGTAGCACGAAAACCTCTTTGAAACAGAGGAATGTCTAATCGAGGATACACAAGCGTCTGGCCGACCTTGCATGTTCGTCCCTCTGTGTGGCTACACCTGCGCAACGTCGTACCGCCGCTTCCTGGTCTAGCAGACCCCTTTCCCCCGGTCTACTAACAATCCAACTGACTTCGCTTGTTTGCAAGTGTCTCGCTCCAAGATTAAGAGCGGATGATGACAGCGTGTGCTATGGTGATTGTGAGCGAGCCCTCAATGCAGGTTACCTTCACTGTGGCAGCTCGCAACTCCACATTACTTGCACGTCATGTCGGTATTAGACGGTTGAGCGCATTTGTAAGCTCCACCTTCATACAAACGAACAAACGGCCTGTTTGCACGCCTTCTCTTGTCTATTCTTGCGCGTGATAGGCTACGCATAATACCTCGCTACCTATTACTGGCGCACTCACTTCGTCGGTATCTAGCCATTCTAACCTAGGATACGATGCAATGATGCCGCAATCTCTTTTTGCTTCTTCCCATCATCCCCTCCCGCGCGAACCGGGAAGCAGCGCGGATGTCGGTCCGTACATCAATGTGGTTACGTGGGTCCTATTGATTACCTCCGCGTTGGCGGTCCTGACTAGGCTTGTTACCAAGCGTGCGTTGAGGCGGACCTTAGACATTGACGATGGTTTTGTCTTGCTGGCTTTGGTACGTCACGTTTGCTTGAGCTGGATCATCCTTTCAAATCCCGCTTTTGCTGACTGATGGGAAATAGATTGCGACTATAGGTTCTGGTGTCTCTGTTAGTGTCCAGACAGGTAATGGCCTTGGGCGAGACATCCTACTATTGACCGAGGATCAGATCTTGGCGTATCAGAAAGTAAGCGGCTGAGTGACCGTTGACTGCATGAATATTCTGCTAAGTTCTTTTGTAGGCCGAGTATGCGAACAAGCTGCTCTACATCGCAACTCTATGTTTCGCAAAGTTGTCCATCATCTCGCTTCTAAAGATTCTGACCGCATCAAAACTACACCGGACCTTAGGCTTGCTTCTCACCGTCTTCATCGCTTCTTGGAGCATCCTGTCCGGACTTGTATCTGCGTTTCAGTGCGGCGCTGAAGAGCCATGGCGCTTCCTTGAGAGAGGGGGGAGATGCTTCGACTTGGTATGTAAGAATTCTGCCGTCTTCTTTGACATTGCTGACACTTTGAGGAGGCCGCTTTCTGGCAGTCCGTGGGCGTCGTGAACATATTGACGGATCTGGCGCTCATACTGTTCCCGGTTCACGTAATCATGACGCTACAAATGAGTACGGGCAAGAAAGTTACGATCCTGACGTTCTTCGGCGCACGATCACTGTAAGTTTTGCATATAACTATCATAGGAGTCTTCTACTAATGCGCCACAGAGACATCGCAGCGACTGCCGCCCAAATGGCGTTCCTCCACGGCTTCGCTTCACCCAACCCGACGAAAGACCTCTGGACATGGACACTTCTCACCCAGATCATTGAGTGCATCACCATCCTAACATCATGCGTACCCTACCTACGACCGCTCCTGGAGCATGTCCCATCAGGCCTCTACGGTACCGACACGATACGACACCGAGGTACAACCACAAAGCACGGCTACTCGCGCACTAAAAGCAATTCGTACCAGCTCTCCAGCATAGCTTCGAAAGTCGGTGGCGGAACAAAACATAGTCGGAAGAGTCAGGTGGAAGGTGGTGGGCTCAAACGCTTTCTACCAATATTCTCGCACAGTAGAACGACAAATGCCAATTCTGCATCGGGCATCCCTGGAGGCCCTCCGCGACCCGACGGTGAAATGGATGTTGAAATAACAGCTGTACATCACAAGCATGGTGACGAGAAGCGGTGGGATGACAAAAGATGGGAGACTGCAAGTACGGGAAGCTTTCCAAAGATCCTGAAGACTACTGTTGTTAGTGCAGAGTGGGAAGACGTGGGAGCAAAGCGTGGCGATGCTTCTAGTGATGAGATTGCGATTTTGCGTTGATGTTCGCTCGGTAGAGATGCTTTTCCGGTAGCATCAAGAGTTCTATACCCATTGATCTGGTGCTGAAATCCAACGAACCCAATGCTGCACGATCTTCATGATTTATTCACTGTATCAAAAGAATTACGACACGTCTGTTCACCAGCGTCGACGTTGAAATGCCTGAACACTCTGACATCATACGCGTGAGATTACAGTCAACGCTCCGGCAATGTGGTATCTCCGTGGGCCTTCGCATCTGTGCGGACGTTTCGCAGTGCCAATCGTCGCATGGCTCACGCCCGGGTTCCAGCCTTGAAGATTAGTGAGCTGGTTCCAATTGCAACTATCCGTCTGGAGGTTTAGAACTGACATGCCAGTTAGCTGCAGGTACCCAGTCCAAATTGCTCATAGGCTAGAGAGCCTTGAATGAGCATAACTTGCACGTGAGGAGGGTCAAGCCCGATACCAAGTCCGGCATTCAAGTTAGCCCCACGCTTGCTCCAGTCAACAGGAAGTCGTGCGCCTTTTTGGGCTTTCGCCCCCTATAGCATGCCGCACTTGGACTCCTACTAGGAGATGTAACGCGGCATGCCTGTGGCTGCATATGTCAGCCTCCAAGAGTAGATCGAGATGCAACACGCGTGAACTGCATCTGCGCAGGTTCCCAACAATAGTACGATGTCTGAGAGTCACGCTGAGGCGTGCAGGTGATTGTAGTGGACTCTGTGCAAGATACAGAATAGCTAGACGCCACATTGAGATCGGCCTGGTTGTGTTCAGGTAACGCATTCTCTGCTCGCATGGAACCTCTAGGACACAGAAGCACCACATGACTCGTTTGGAATGCTGGAACAGATATCGCGATGCGTCATGATAGCCGTTGAGAATGCGTGCACGGATGGAGGAGGCGGCTTCCCACATGGGCAGCCGATTACTAACTAGCCTCACACAAGATGGAATGAACCCCGGAGCCACCCCCTCCGTCTTCCCTCATTACCCAACCACCGCACCGCTCATCGTCCAATTCGTGCCACGGAGAATCTGCCGGGAGGTCTATGCCTTCGACTACAACGGTATGACAGCCGTTATTGTGACCACATGCCGCATGCTCTGCCCTCGATCAGCATGCCGAAGGGAGACTACGGCGGCCCAATGTTGCACGCTGAGTGACATGCAAAGACGAATGACGCTCTGAACCCCTTTTCGCGATTGAAAGCCATCATGATCTACTGCTGAGTTCGGGAAGTACGAACGCCTCTTTCTTGGGCATATGCAAAGCGCGACGCCCTGGTGCAAACACGCATCTGTCCGTTCTAGCATCGACCATGCCGTTTGACAAACACGCGAAGACCGGGGAATGTTAATTTCGCCTCTACCACACTTAATACATGCGAACAAGGGTCTGCAGGAATGCATGTCACCGCTTTCCGCAGGTTAGGCACCCCAATGGGTGCGACCGACGCACCAATCAACGCCCGTTTCACTGTGGGGTGCCCTCTGAAACTACGACTGCAGTGCGATACCTCGACTTGCGAGCTGCCGCCGTCACTGCGGAGAGCCTACAACTGCCTTTGCGGTGCGAAACGTTGGCTTGGTGTCTTTCACTCGGACGCTTAGTTGCATTGCCGAGCGACCGCCTCCTGGACCGACCTCACTACCGTCTTTGCCGGCGATCACTGTACTACCGCATCCACCCGTGGACATCTACACATGGCGCACGTTACCTCTGGAAGAGATATATATCGAGATTTACTTGCATTGCATGCGTCCTGTATCACGACACACCTTCTGGGTATCTTCTTTCCTTTTCTGATCTGCCTGCTTGCTCAACATTTGTTACTACGTACTGCGGTCGTATCCGTCTTGTTGCTCAACACGCCGCGGATTGGAAAGCTGGAACCAAGGCTATCATGGAGAAGCATATCGAACTACAGAGGTTCAACCATGAGCCTCTGCGGCTGAGGGGCCGGGGCTCCATTTCGGAAGGCAAAGGCCGGCAGTTCGACAACGACAGATATGAATTGGCGAAAGTGGGAAAGAAGCAGGTGTTGAAGGTATGCTCACTGTTGACAATATGTTTATCCGGTCTGATCATGGTAGCGTCGCTTCGGACTGGTGTCTATGACCGGTCTCTCTTGCGGGTTGATGTGCACTTGGGAGACTTTGCTTGTGTAAGTTAATGTGATTGATACCATCTACTTCGCTGACGTCATGGCAGTATCTTTTCGATAGGCTTCCACAAGTAAGTACCTAATTTCTAAAGAAAGTCGGCAGCCACTGACGATGTGATTACAGCGGCGGACCTGCTGGCCTCATCTACGGCTTCATTCT